AAAAAAAAAAAAAAAAAAAGAAAAGGGGAAAAAAAAAAAATCAATAAAAAGAATTTGAATAAACCCCGCTCAAAGAAAGCCAAGGGTTTGTGACACTTAGGGCTGTGCCACCGACTGTTACTTGAGGAAGGAGTGAAAGCAAACCCCGCCTCTGTGACGTTCTCCCCTCCCTGCTCCTGGAAAAGCTGCTGGCTTTCACAGCTGTGTGTGCAGGGGTGGCTGTTGCATTTTTTTTTTTTTAATTTCTTTTTTTGCCACCTGAGCTGTCCTTGCCTCCTCTCTGAACGTGCCGAGTGTCGTCAGAGGCAGGGAGAGCCGCTCCCTGCCTGGATCCCTCACCACAATAAACTCTGGATACTTGCTGGGACTTTTCTGGGAGGGAGCTGCCTCTGGGTTTGCTTGGCACAGCCCCAGGGCAGGTTGTGCTGGTTGGTTTTTTTGTTGGTTTGGTTGGGTTATTTTTTTTTTTTTGGTTGGTTGGTTGGTTTTTTGGTTTGTTTTTTTTTTTTTTTTATATAAATGAATAATTCCTCCCCCATCTCGCAGGACGTTGTGGTGGGGCCCTACAAACACCCTCAATTCTCTCTTTTTTTTTTCTTTTTTTTCTCATCTGATGAGAAGAATCCCAGAATATTTCCAATCCCTGTGATCCCTGGCTCTCTCCCTCCTTGGATTTTCTCCGTTCAAAGCAGCTCTGCTCCTGTTCCTGTCTCAGTGTTGGGTTCCTCCGTGAAGGAATTCCCCTCTCCCTGCCCCACCAGTGCTTTTAGAGAGAGAAGGCCGAAGAGGATTTTACAAGACACTAATTCCTAAAGAAAACCAAGTTTCCCCCCTCCTTTTTTTAAAGATAAAGTGAATGAAATATATATTATAGAGGACCTGGACTGGCTGGGGTGGACAGATGTGTGACGGTGAGGAGATCCCAGCTGCCACCAGCTCATCTGTTCCCATCCCTTTGCTCCACCCTGGGCACCTTGGATCGATTTTTAAGCCACAATGCTATGAGGTTTCAATGAACTGATTTATTTTTTACCATTATTGAAACATCGGGGACAAGCATTAAAAACGTGAGGAAAAAAAAAAAAAACACAACAAAAAAAAAAGCTTAAAAAGAAAAAAAAAACCAACAAAAAACAACAAAACCCACAAAAAAAAAAACCCAAAAAAACCAAAACGACAACAAAAAAGAAACCACAAAACAAAACGGTGCTGATTCTGGTGTGATTTTTGCTCACCACGTGAATATAAACTTATCAATTGTATAAAAAGAACAAAGTGATTTTAGTATAAAAAAATGCAGGAAAAAAAAAACAAAACTTTTTTTAAATTGTTAGTATTGTAGTGTGAATAAATTTGCCATCACCTTTTGTGTGGTGGCTGGGCAGGTCATTATCTTAATTTTTTTTTTTTTTTTTTTTTTGCATATATCTTTTAAATACTGTAATTAGTGCAGTAACAAGTTTTTTCGTTTTTTTTGGTTTTTTTTGTTCATCTCTTCTAGAACATTCATAATGCCATCATGTTTATTATTATTATTTTTTTTTCTGTTAATGTTTTTGACAGTTTTAAAGGAGCAGCCTTTTGGCTCTGATCATTTTCTTGTTCTGTTTTCAATGAAATCAATAAAAAAAAAAAAAAGTGCTTTAAAAGGAGTTTGGGGTTGTTTTTTTTAAAAAAAAATTGTGTCATATAAAAATTTGGGAGCCTGAATTCCAATCAGGATGGGCAGCACTGAGGTTTGGGGATCCTGGGATGTCTCCCCAGGGGAGAAAATTAAATAAAATCCCCTTCCCTCTCTTTGTGCTGCTGTGACCTCCTCTGATGAGGAAATATGAGCCAGGCTGATGGTTATCCTGCAGCCCAGGTAAGAGTTATAAAATCTCTATAAATGCAGAATTTCACCCCACATCTCATTTCTGAGCCTTTGCCAGAGCTGGAAGAAATATTACTTTATCTCCCTGCTGGCACAGAATATTCCCTCGTTGTCTGAAGGAGCTCCCTTATCACCCTTTTAATTTCCTTTCTGGTGCTCCAAGCAGGATGAAAATCCTCTGCCCTGTCACTGGAGGCAGGGCAAGGGCTCCATGTCCTGGCTGAGAGAAAGAACCAGCCTGAGGTTCAGGTTTAAGGCTGCAGAGGGATGGCAGAGATGAGAGCACAGCAGAGATCAGGCTCAGCCCCCCTGTCCCTTCCCCAGCCCCAGAAATTGCCTGAACACCCAGAAAAAATCAGATATTGCTGGGTGCTGCCTGTGGGGAAAGGTGTGATTCTCCTGGGGAGGGGAGGTGGGACAAGCTCAGCCCCACAGCTGAGCCTTTGCTCATCTCTGCCTTTTAATCTCAGTTTAACAGTGTGGGAGTCACTAAAGAGGGCTCAGGACTGGGCTCAGGCTCTGCTGGTGGCACTGGGGACACAGCAGCTCTTGCTGGAGGTGCCTGTGTGCCTCGGGAGGGGACCTGGCCAGGGAGTGACACCTGGGCCACCTCTGCTCCCCCTGCAGCATCACAGGGACCCCAGCAGGGAAATGCCCCCGGGGAAGTTTTTAATGCAGAAATGCTCTCCAGCCCTCTGGGATGGCTGGGGGAGTGGAAGGAAGGAAGTTGAGGCACGAGAAGTGTCCCCACCACGTCACACCCTGCAAAGGGGGGGTTGTCAAGCAGCTCCTGGAGCTTTGGGAGGTGGGATCAAGGTCCCAGACCTGCACTGGGGGTTTTCCAGTGCTGCCAGCAGAGCCTGGTGCTGAGCTGGGATTAAATTCCCCATTGCAGAGTCCCAGCTGAGCTGGGAGCAGGGCCTGGGCAAAGCCAGGCTTTGTTCAAACACCCGGAGCGCTGCACGAGAGGTGACATTAAAGAGGGCTGGTGTTCACCAGGGATCCATTTGCCAGCTTTCCTGGCTGCAGGGTCTGGAACTCCTCAGGAATTCACACTGAGACCCTCCCTGCCCCTCTGAGGGTTTGCAGGAGCCACAAAACCCCTCTGAGCCCAGCAGAGATGGGATTTTGGGACGAGTTCACATCCAGGAGGTGGCAGGGAGCCCTGGGCACCGCAAAGTTTCCATTCTGGGTTTGGGATCCTTTCTCCCTCCCCAAGGAAAGGGGGGACAGGGGAAATGCCACCCCTGATCCTCTTTTCAGACCAATTCACCCCATTTCCAGCCCCCTTCCAGGCCATGAACCCCCAGTGCTGGGGGCTGGGCCCTGACCTGGGCTCTCCAGTGTGGACAAAGCCTCGGGGAGATGCTCTGTAACCAAAACAGCTGGAGGAGAGGTGAAATGAGGATTTGTGGTGTTGATCAGGTAGAAAACAAAAATATTTTCGGGCTGGATTTTTTTTTTCCCCTTCTGGGGGTTTGATTTTTTTGCTCTGTGCTCATCCCTTGGGAGCCTGGGAATGTGGAGCCCACTGTGAGGATGGAAAACACCTGGATATGGAGAGCTTCCCCTCCAGAGGAGCCTCCATCTGTGTGCTCAGAATGAGGCTGATTTAAATGTGATTTATTTGTCTGCAACGTGCAATAACCTCAGGAAAAAAAAAAACCCAAACCCTCAGCAATCCTGGTTTGAAAAAGCAAGAAATCATTGAGGTTTTTCTCCCTCCTTTCAGCAGATCCAGAGGCAATGAAACAGCAGTGATGGGTGAATAATAAAACCCTTCTGTGGATAAAGTATAGAAACCCACAGAGGCAGGGCTCAGGGTGAGCAGAAAATATTCCACCTGAGCAACAGCAATTAGTGCACCTGGCTTTGCCTTTGTTGTGCTCTGTAAATACAATTCTGAGCAGCAAATAAGCAGATAAGCTTTACCCAGATGTAATAAGACAAATCTCCTTTTCTCCCACCTCTGCTGGAGGAGGATTTCTCTCTGGTTGTGCAGCTGTTGGGGGAAAACAGCTGGAATAAATTGCTTGGGAGTTTGTGAGCAGCAAACACGGCCTGCACCGTTACCACAGTGACTTTATAAATGAATTAAAGGGGAATATTCCCACTCACATCGTGAAAATGCCTTTGACACGGCTGGGAGGAGTTGAGGAACTTGTGTGGTGTTTTGCTCTATCAATGCCTGCTCTTCCCTCCTGCTGCAGGATATAGAAATATAGAGAAATATAGAGAAATATAGAGAAATATAGAGAAATATAAAGAAATATAAAGAAATATAAATATAAATATAAATATGAATATAAATATAAATATAAATATAAATATAAATATAAATATAAATATAAATATAAATATAAATATCAATATCAATATCAATATCAATATCAATATAAATATACAAATGTATTTGTACTGGCTGCAGATCAGGGCAAAGTTCTTTCAAATAAAACATTTCTCTGAACCAACAGCTTTACTGCATATTGGATTCTGTTAAAGGAATTCAATTTAGGGAATTCAATTTAGAGAACATCAGGCCAGGAGGAGGAGGAGGAGGAGGGCAAACCATTATGGCTAAATAATTCCAATTAACCATTCCAGACCTTTCTGGCTAATTCAGTTGGAGTAAGTGTTGCCTGGTGTAGGGATCTGCAGGGCTGAGATCCTCCTGCAGCTCCAGGGAATGTCTGGGATGCTGAGGGCTGCACTGGACCTGAGCAGAGCCTGGTTTGATGTTACTGAGCTCCACTTCTTGAAACAGAACAGGGAAGGAAGAATCTGGGCTGGGAAGCAGAGCTCGGGTACCTCTCCTGCAGCCAGTCCTCATTTCACTTCCCTGGGCACATGCAACCATTTCCAGGCTAATTCCTAAATCAGTGTAAACATCAAAGCAGCGCCTGGAACGAGGCAAATGGTCCAGCTCAGCTCTGCTGTGCAAAAACAACCCAGATCCCAATGGGAAGCTTTACCAGGAGAGCAGCCCTGTGTTTTAAAGCAGATTTTTGTGGTAGAGAAACTTAATTTCACTCTTCAGGTTATTGATTATTCTTTGGCTTTGGAAGTAGCTGCCCCTGGTATCGAGAGCTACAAGTGTCAGGCTCTTTTGGGGCAATTCCCAGATTTGGATGGCAGCAATATTGACTCGTCATTGAGTGCTAAAAATTCCTGAGATTTCAGCTCAAAATCAAAGGAAGCTCAAACACGTGGAGGTTTGGGAAGTGCTTTGCAGCTCTGAGCAGCCTGTCTGGGTTTTACCCTCCCCAAATCTCTGCCAGAATCACAGAATATCCTGAGCTGCAAGGGAGGATCATCCAGTCCAACTCCTGACCCTACAGAGAGCAGCCCCACAAATCCATTTTCCTTGAGTTTCTAACCCACTTCTCATTCCTTCAGTCCCCATCCCAAAAAAGAGACAATAAAGACTCAAAAATTGTGAGTTTGTTTATTTTTTTAGCTCCCCCAAAATGTTTGAGCAGCTCCCCACCATACCTCTTGTCTGCAAACATCTTCCCTCTGGTTGTTTTCCTTCCTGGCTGGAAATCTTAATTTTGATTATGAATTTTTTGGGTCACAGCCCCAGTGTCTGTAATTTCATGAGGTTTGTGGCCACTGATTCAAAAACCTTTGAGCGTGAACTCGCAAATCTTTCATTGCCTTTGGTTCTGAGCATCATGGAAAACACTGGTTTTCTGCTTGATTTATCAGCTTCTCCTCTTTTCTGTTTTTCTGTGTTTTCATTCTCTAATTTGATATTTCTCTCTGCCCTCTCCCTTCTGAGGCTTCTCCCCTCTCTGGGTCTGTTTGGGAAAACACAAAAATCTTGGGTTTTCTCTTAGCAGCACTAAAAAGCAGCTCCCACCCAGGGTGGTGCTCAGGGCTTAAAAACAAATAATTTCTACAATTTAACAACAAAAAAAAAGATCAACAAGTGCCATTAGCTTGGGGGTTCAGCTGTTCTGAGACCTCCAGCTCCCCACACCTGAGGGAACCCAAACCTGAGTTTCTTCAGGGGTTGTGCAGAGCCTTTTTTTTCCTCCTCCTCCTCCTCTTTGCAAAGCTCTTGCTGTTGGTTCATGAATCTTCTCTCTGCTGGAGAGATGCAGGTCTGGAAGCTGTCAAGGAGCCTCTTTTATGAGCACTTGAAAGCAAAAAAAAATATAAAGAAATGGGTGCTTGAAGAGTAGCTGGGACTAATGAAGCTTTTTTATCTTGGCAATTTGTGTGTGTACACAGAGTGGGGGCAAGGGGAATCCTACAGAGTGTTGCAAACCCATGTAGGGCAAGGCAGTTAATAGGATGAAAATGAAATCAATATCCAGGCCTTAATTAAGAAGCTGTTTTTATTCAGAGCCCAGGAAAAAGCTCCCCCCAAAGGTGCCAAACACGTGCTGGATTTCAGCCCCACGTGGGCTGTGCCTGCAGGTCCCTGACACCCCAAAGGCCTCAGCAAAGGGGCTTTTTTAGCCATTCCTTCAGGAAATGACAAGAGGAGAAGGCAACAAGAGAAGAAATGAGGATGCAGCCCAATGGTCCTTCATGAAGTACAGCTTCAAACCGAAAGAGAGTAAATTTAGCTGGATATGAGAAAAAAATCCTTCCCTGGCAGGGTGGGCAGTGCCTGGCACAGGGTGCCCAGAGCATCTGTGGCTGTCCCTGGATCCCTGGCAGTGCCCAAGGAGGAGGAGGAGGAGCTCAGGGTGGGTTCCCTGCTCCTGCCTCTCCCGGGGCCGGGGGGAATGGGCAGAAAGGGAGCAAAAAAGTTCTGGAAACACCCGGAGGAGCCGCGTGTGGTGGAGGAGCTGTCCCACGGCTCTGGCAGCTCCTCCATCCAGCCCCGAGCTGTGTCCTCCCCCCGTGGAGCCAGAGATGCCCCCGGTGTCCCCAAGAGCTGGGGGGACACCCTCGGGATTCATTTAATTAATTGAATCCCCTCGGGAATAATGAGGCTTCCAAAGCCCAACAGCCAGAGCTGCCCCAGCGGGTGCCAGGGCAGGCGACAGCCAGGACAGGCGACAACCAGGGTGGCAGCGAGGGAAGCCACCCCCAGCCCCAGTGTAGGGGGAGAGGAGATTCAGTTCTGCCCGTGCCGGAGCAGAGGGCGCTGGAGCCCCAGAAAAATCCCGAGGATGCTCCAGAGCCGCTCCCGCCGCTGCCGGGGCTGCCGAGAGGGTTCTGAGGGATGCAGGAGCCGGGGAGCCCCTCCCAGGGATGGGCTGTGGTCCCCTGGCCAGGGATGGGCTGTGGTCCCCTGGCCAGGGATGGGCTGTGGTCCCCTGGCCAGGGATGGGCTGTGGTCCCCTGGCCAGGGATGGGCTGTGGTCCCCTCCCAGGGATGGGCTGTGGTCCCCTGGCCAGGGATGGGCTGTGGTCCCCTCCCAGGGATGGGCTGTGGTCCCCTGGCCAGGGATGGGGCTCAGGGGTCGGGGATGCCCAGCTGGGACCGGGCAGAGCAGAGCCGCAAATTGGGGGTGATGCTTTTCCTCCCAGGAGTTTTCCCGTCGCTGGGTTCCTGTCCCAGCTCAGGGCAGCTGCTGACCCTCCAAGGGACCTCTTGGGTTTCCAGAATCTTCTCCTCGACATCCTGAAAGGGAGAAGAGCCTCAAAACGCGGCTGTTCACCCGTCAGTGCATTTGGGATTTACAGGAATTAGCGCCCTCTTATCCCCCTCCCGCCGGCTCCCTAACTCGAGTCGAATCCTGCCATGCTTTATTTACCACTCTAATGCCACAATCTCCGTCCATCGACACTTTTCCCTGCTCCTCGGGGCTGATTTTCGGGCTTTATCACGTTTGTGTTTGGCCGAGCTCTGCTCCCCCAGATATCTCGGTAAGACAATAGGAAATGTCTCAAGTTGCTCCAGGGGAAGTTTAGGTTGGAAATGAGGGAAGTTGTCTCTCTCCAAGGGTGTCAAGGAGGGAAGGGGCTGCTCAGGGAGGAGGTGAAGTCACCATCCCTGGAGGGGTTTTAAAGACCTGTGGATGTGGCGCTTGGGGACGTGGTGGCCTTGGCAGTGCTGGCTGAACGGTGGGACTCGGTGACTTTAGAGGCATTTTCCAACCTTAAAATGCCGTGTTTGTATTTCCTGAAGAGCTCTGGCTCCTTCCCCTGCTCCCGTTTGCAGCCTGAGCCCGGGGCTGCAGCGATCCTGGGTCGGTGGCACCGCCAGGGCTGGGACCCTTCAGGTGTCCCCAGAGCCACATCGGCCCTGGGGCTGCCGGAGAGAGCCTGGGGGCTGTGGAAGGTGGGAGAGCAGCCCTGGAGCTCAGCAAAGCAGGGCCAGGTCCATCACTGCCCGCTGCAGGATGAGCTCTGTCCTGACCCAGCGCAGCCCCAGCGGTTCTGCGGGTTCGGAACCCCGATCTCCTCCCAGCAGCGAGACACAGCAGCTCCCCTGCCCCCTTTCCTGCTCCTCTGTGCAGTGGGGATCGCTCTAAGGGATCAGCTCCTCGTGTTCCTCTCCTCCCTGGGCCGTGTGAGCCACCAGAGAGTGAGACAGAACTCCCTGTGACCACAAGAGATTAATTAAACAGTAAGCCCTAATTACTGAGGCTAAGGCTGACCGACTTACCGTGTCTGTAAAATAGCTGAATACTTAATTTAGAGTGTGGACATAACTTTCACCATTAGCTGAACAAACAAGGAGCAGCCGAGCTCAGCTGATGGATGTGGGGCTCCCACCGGAGCTGTCTCCGGCCGAGGATCCGGCCCTGCTGCTCTCTCACTTCTGCTTCTGCCCCTTGGATTTCCAGAGTGAAGCTTATGCCGAGCTGAGCCTGTACACGATTCCAGTTCAGATAAAGTCAGATTTGAAAAGCTGTGTCGACATCGAGATGCTGAGGGAGGCACCCAGACATCTCACGGGTTTGGGTAAGGGGGAGCTGCTTTCCAAAGCACGAACCTGCCCCGAGCCTGGGGATCCCTGCCTGTCAGTGTTATTCAGCTTTCAGGCTGCTTCTCAAAGTCCTCATCGTTTGCATTTCACTGCAGGTTTGGGGAAGAAAACAACAAAACAAATGGGGGAGAGAGTGAAAAGCGTGAAAGCAAAGCCAAACCCCAACTCCCAGCGCAGGGCTGTGGAAGTAGGGCAGCCAGCTCCTACCCCTGCCTCAGGAGCTTCCTGAAGAACAATAACACATCCTAGGAAGTGAGAGTTAATCTGTAGCTGCACAGCTTTTGATTGTGTTTCTCCTTTTCTGCGTGCATTAACCTTTCAGATTTAGAAGGTTGTGCAGTGGGCATGGCTTTTTTTTTTTTTTATAATTCCTATTATCTGTGCTTGCTGCGTGGCTCCAGCTCCAGCTCCAGCTCCAGCCCCAGCCATTCCCCCATTAACTGCAGCTCATTGAGCGCTCCATCAGACCTCCAGTTGTGTTTTCAGCGGACTGCAGGCCCCGAGAGGGTTTGAAGCCTTGCTGAGCACTCTGCAGAGGAGGAGAGAACACCCCAGCACCACAGAACAGCCGAAAACACCAGCAGGGGAATCTCGCCGCCTGTTTAGAGATGGGGGAAATGGTGATTTAAAGGCTGGAGGTGTGGCTGAGTGCCCGGGGGTGTTAAAAGTGCTCGTGACAAAGCCTTGGGGACTCCCAGGTGTCCTGGCTCTGCTTTCAGCTCGGTGAGAGCACAAACACCAACATTCTGCCCTCTCCCTTAATTCCACAGCAACAGCCATCCTCCAGCTTGGAGATGTGGTGCTCTTCTCCTTGTGTGGCCTCCAGTCCCCAGGTTCTTCACAACTTCAGAGAACTTTGGGGATCTGGGCTCTCCTGCACTTTGTCTTCGGGTGTTTCATCCCAAAATGTTGCATTTTCCTGCCTCTTCATTTCTCTTCCATGCCTGAGCAGTTTCTCTCACCCATCACTGAGAAGATGAAAAGCTCTCAGTTTTTAATCAGTGATAATTCTGACATTAACCCAGGCAAGGTGTGACTCCTGCTGTGCTGGGCTTTGACACCTGAGAGCTTTGAGTCCTGTCCAGCAAACTCCTGTGGGGTCAGGCACAGAAGGGCTGGGCTTTTGTCTTCAGCTTGCATTAACCCTTGGGAAAGTGACTGGTGACATCCCCAAATTTCTCTGATTTTTTTGCCCGTCTGGCTCCAGGTCTGGCCCTGCTGCTCTGTCAGTTCTGGGGATGTTTCTGCCTCTTGGATTTCCAGAGTGAAGCTCATGCCAAGCTGAGCCTGTACACGACTCCAGTTCAGATAAAGTCAGATTTGAAAAGCTGTTTTGACATCGAGATGCTGAGAGACATCCAGGCAAGTGTTCAGAAGAGCCTAAGGAGGGGAGAGACCTGAATCTTAAGGAGGATTAGATGTCTAATCATTTACCACAGACAGATATGTACTGAAAGACAGGCAAAGACTCCCAAATCTCCCTCTCCTGGTGATCAAGTCCTCGGTTAAATTGAGGTCCAAATAATGGAACAGAAGGTGTGAAGTTGTCTTTCCCTTCTGGCTGTTCTTGGAGACCAATGGGGTAGAAATGATCTTAGAAATGCTGTGGAAAATAAAAATATGATGCCTGCAATACTTTTAAGTTCCTGTCTGTGTGCAAACGTTGCTTCCCCACAGAGCAAACCCTCTTCTGGTGGTGCTGGAGCTCAGAAGGGAACTCTGGGCACTACTGAGGTTTCTTGTCCCTCTTCATCCCTGTGTCCTGTGATTTCCTGGGGATTTCCTGTGAATTTTCCTGCGTGGTGCTGTTCAGGCATTGGTCCTGCTTGTTGAAGTATTTTCTGAGCTGAAAAACTCATTTTTGAGCTCATTTTTGAGCTCCCTGGGGCTGAACCCGGCTGCCACAGCCAGCAGCTGGGTTTGGAGCTGTGATCCAGCTACGAAGGAGCTCAGTTCAAGAGGAACAGAAGGAGCAGAGCAGCTCCTGGTGCCCTGGGGCCCACCCAGGGCAGGGGGGTGATGTGGGGAAGGTGCTGAGCAGGGACTGAGCCGGCTCCTGCCTTCTCTCCCTGCCCAGCTGTGGGCTCCAAGCGCTGTCCCCCCATTCCCCTTCCCTCAAATCCATTTCAGCTGATCCTTCAAACGCTGCCCTTGGTCTGTGGGGGCCTGGGAGAGCTGGGTGGTGCTGTGGGGTTGGGATGGTGCCAGCAGTGCCCCCACCCCGAGCGATGAGCTCAGGGTCTCTCTTGCTCCACGTTCGTGCAGCAGCTGAGGGCAATTGGCCCTGGAGGTTTAGGACACTAAACAATGCCATGATCAGGACTTGCACAGGAGGAGCTGTGACTTCAAAAGGCCTCTGTTCCCTTTGTTCACTCTCTTATTCTCCGTAAAAAGTATCAGAGCATCTTCCTCATGGATTTTACATAAAGCCACTCTACATCCTCTGGCAGACCTGAGCTCCAGCTTTAACAATTCCCTCTGCCTGCCTGGCAGCAGGATTTTCCTCCAGCACAGCTGGTGCAAAATGGGAGTGAGGAGAGCAGAAATCCCTGGCCAGGAACACCTTGGGAAGCTGCTTTTCTTGGCCTGAAGCTCTGGACCTTCCTGTGGGCTGGAAGGAGATGTGCAGTCTGTATTGTTCGTTTATTTTTAAAGGAAATGTGCTCCTGGGAGTTGCTCTGCTTGGCAATAGCCTGGATCCAGAGCCTCAGGATGGCATTGAAAAGGCTCCTCTGTTCCTCAGCCTTGCAAATTCAGAGTAAATCACAGCCTACCTGCATTTCCCTGAGCTCACCTGGACAAAAGGTGTGCTGGGGAGCTTTGACCTCCCCTCTGAGCTGCTCCAGGTGTAGGGCAGGATCCAGGGAAGTCAGGGCATGGTGGGAGTCCTTTCCTCTCTTAAAGGAAGAAATCTTCTTTCCTGCTGCTGTTTTTGCAAATGTCCCCGCTCTGTCCTGCTCACAGGGGGATGTTGGGGTTGTGTCCCTAAATTTTAGCCGCTGTCCCTGATGCTGGCAGCCTGTGCTGCTGCCTCTGGAGCACAGCAAATGCAAACCCACTCTGTGATTTACCCAGAAACCCTTCCAGAGATGGATCCAGACTGTCCCAGCAGCTCCTGCCGGGACAAACAACCACAGCCACGGCTGCCTGCCACCATCCCGGTGTGCCAGGCACCCTGCAGGAACATCCCTGCCCTTCTGGGCCATTTCCCCTGCCCTGCCAGATGGAAAAGCTGCTCCATTAAGCCCAGTCACCTGCCTCAGGCTTGGGATGGGATGGAAGTCCAGGGAAACGCTCGGTTGCCTGGCAAAGCTGCTCGGGGAGGAGGAAGGCTCTTTGCTCAGCAGTGCTGGAGAGCAGAGTGATTTACTCACCTCTGTCTTCGGGGCTTGCAAGGAGGAGTCACTCATGACCGAGCCCATTTTCAGAATTTTCCATGGAATGCTCTTTGCCCTCCCGTAATGGGAGATTATGGATGTCTGACCTGTTTCAGTGCTCCAAATTTCTTGCTTTCTCTTAACTCCCCTGTTTTTCTCCTAATCTTAAAAAGCTCAACTAAATCCCAACGCTTCCCCCTCTCAAAGCCAAATAATCCTCGCAATTGCAATCTCCTTCTCTTCTTTAAGGCTTCTGATGCTTAAGGTCTGCGTGATCTTCCTTAGGGTGTGAAAAAAAAAACAATCCAGGGAAAAAAGCCCTGAGCATGCAGATTGAGGAAAGGGCAAACTGGTTTAACAGAGCATCCTCACGACACTCTCACATCATTTTCTCTCTGTCACGAACACCCCCACCGCCCTGGCTGCTGATTTCACTGCAGTGCTGTGGTGGGGAGTTTGTTCTGGGAGAGGCAGAGTGGTTCGGTGGCTGTAGGAGGAGAGATGGGGATGTGGAAGTCAGGATTTTCCCTGGTTCTCAATAAGACCTGATGCAAAAGACAACTCAGTTTGTTGGTTTTTATTTTTTATTTTTTATTTTTTACCTTTTTAGAGCTGTTGTGTCATCCATCCCCCTGGTTTTGTGAGCATGGGAGGGTGAAGATTTGTGGAAACCAATGTATTTTTTCTCCATCTACTGATTTCCATCTGAAGAGGTGAGTGATTATTGAAAATGGCATTTCCTCTTCTAGTGGTCACTGAGAAAAAGTCAGATTTTTCCACTGAAAAAGAACCTAAGAGATGTAGTGGCCAGAAGCACAAAAGTGAAAAATTAAACCTCTAAGTAAGCAAGTTTAATAAAAATGAAATGAGTAAATAAGTCAGCTGGGGAAATGACTTTCAGGTGAAAGATAAAATCCATCACAGAATACAATGCAGTGAGGGTAAAAACGGGTTTTGGGGAAAATTTTAAAGAAAGAAGAGCTCCCTGCACCTTCCTTCTCCATCCACAAAATAAGGCAACTTTCCCATTTGTGTGGATCAGCTCGGGGGTGCCCGGGGGTGGGGACTCCTAGGAGGAAACACTGGTTTGCATCCCTGCCCAGGGTCTGGGGGATGCTGAACCACTCCAGCCTCTGTCTCCGGGCAAAGTTTTTCCCAAAGGCTCCAGCACTCAGCTCAATCTGCAAATAACCCAAAGCTGGGCTGGGGGAAAAGGCCTTTTCTTGCATTTCCAGCAGGTGCAGGGGAAGGCAACCTCCAGGCTGGAGCTGCTTCTCTCTGCCCTGGTCCTCAGGGCTCGCAGACCCCTGTCCGTGTCTGTTCCTGCTGCGTGCGACCCTGGAGGCAGCAGGATGTGATTCACCTCCTTCCCTCGCTGCTTTCCGTGCTCAGAGCAGCTCCCGGCTCCGCTCGGCTGCCGGTGCCGCCTCCGGGAGCATCTCCGGGCTGTGCTGCAGTGTGCCAGAGCCCTTCAGACACCGAGCCCCGGCACAAGGACCCGCTTCCTTCCGGAGACTCACCCTTTGCGTCTTGCCAGACCTTATTTGTGTCACTTGTGGCTGCTGCCAGCCCTCCGACTGGCTCCTGGAGCCAGCAGATGTTCCTGCTCCAGGCTCGCCTGCTCGCTGGGTTGGTTTTGCACCGAGCTTGGATGACTAAGGCAAAAACCACATTAGCGGCGGAGTCCAGCCTTTCCTTGCCGTGGAGGAAGTGAAAATGCCCCTCTGTTGACAGCCCTGACTTCTCCGGAGGGTCCCTTCTCAAAGTTAATAGTTTATATCCCAAATTTAGCCTGAAATGCAAAAGCATTTCCTCGCCAGCTACTGCAGTGACTGTTGCCGTGCGGCGCTCCAGGAACAAGGAGGAGTTATCTCCCTGACTTGTGCTGGAGGGAAGCAACAGAGGGTGTTGGAATAAACAGGATTAAAGGATTTCATCCATAAATACAGGATTAAAGGTATCCAGCGCTCCGCAGGAGTCATTCAAACCAAGGAGAAACAAAGTAAGTTGTGCAGAAGGGCGCAGCTCTGCCCGTGCCGCACATCCCCGCATCGCCCCAGCCCCGTGAGCGCTGCGGGGACCGCAGCCCCCGCCCCGCATCCGCCCGAGCCCC